ATATATATATATATATACATATTGTATAATAATTGAAATGTGACTGTATTTTGCAAAATACTAGTCTATTGAAATGCAGCCAAGACAAGTTACTTTGCACAGACCAAAGGTCAGTTTTATGTTATTTGATATGGTAACATGAGTGCACGTGAGCAGCATAATTGTAACTTCTGTATTGTTAGCCAGGCATGGCTGAAAGGTCAATTTACTAAAAATAATAAATATATATGAATGTATAATGATGAGGTTTAAGCTATTTAGTCTAAACATTTATGATTTCGTGTCATAACTTATGTTCATTCTAGAATGAAAGAGGTATAATTTATATTTATTTCCTAATTTTTTATGGTGGTTGCAAGATAGGTCAAATCTACCAAACCCTTAGAGATTCATTACTGAAAATAACGGATAAAATATAAAGTTTTTTCTTAAGAAACATTTGATTATAAAGATTTCGCATGTGAAAGTCAAAATTTTCCAATGCATAAAACTATTTCTAATCTTAAAATGAATATTACTTTGCTTGATAGATAGACAACATGTGAAAAAAAAACAGACATGAGAAAAACATTGCTTTATAAACCCTAAGACTTAATAAAAAAATTTGGTATTTTGTGTATGAAAGCATTGTAATGTTTACTGATAATCTGCCACATTTAGTTAATATTTGCTTACTAATTTAAAAGCTATAGCATGAAAACTATAACAAGCACAAAATGGTTAAGGGGTCGGTCCCAGGGACCTAGCCCGTACGGAAAGAGTTAATGTCACAAGTGAGGTACCTCAGGGATCAGTCTTAGGACCTTTGCTCTTTTTGATTTACATTGATGGTATAGCTGAAGGAATGGTCAATTACTTAAATTTGCAGATGATATTAAGGTCTTGGGTGTTGCTAGCTGTAAAGAGGATGCTGCTGATTTACAAGAGGATTTAGATCATTTAGTGAGTTGGGCAGATGGGTTTTAATTATAATAAATGCAAGATAATGCATATGCGTTATCATAATTTGAATTATATGTATAATTTGGATGGGAATAACCGTAACAGTGCTGTGAAGGAAAGGGATCTTGGTGTAATAGTTGATCAGTCTCTAAAGCCATCCAAGCAGTGTACTGTTGCTAGTGGTAGGGCAAATAGGATTTAAGGTTGTATCTACAGAAATATTGAATACAAGTCTAAAGAGGTTATAATTTAATTGGTTGGGCCACATTTGGAATATTGGGTTCCTTACCTTAGGAAAGACATTGAATTGTTGTAAAGGGTTCAGAGAAGGGTTACTAGAATGGTGCCTGGGATGTAGGGGTTGTCATACGAGAAGAGGTAGAAATCTTTGAAATTGTTTTCTCTTGAAAAAAGAAAAGTTGGGCGGGGGGGTCTAATTGAGGTGTTTAAGATTATAAAGGTAATTGATAGTGTTGATGCATCATTATTTTTCATACTTAACAGCAAGAATAGTAGAACTAGGGGACACAAATATATATAAAGTTTGTCAGGGTAGGAGTCATCTTCAGATAAAACATTTTTATTTTTCTAACAGGGTGGTTGGCCTTTGGAATGGGTTGCCTTTGAATATTGTTGAAGCAGTAAATTTAAATGAGTTTAAGAGAAAGCTTCATAAGTATAGGAATGATAAGGGCTGGCTTTAAAGAATTTTTTTAATTATTTTAATTTAGTTTAGAGGATGGAACAGCCAAGATGGACCAGTAGGTCCCATGTTGTTCCAATATGATATGTTTCTGCAATTTGTTAATAAGCCCATGAAATCTTTTGTTTACTCACTACTTGAAATTGTGCCTGTTAATATTGCCACCAGAAAGGTGGTCAGATGCAGAACATGAGCTGTCAGCTGAGCAATCTTATTTATGATGTTATGGTGTGTAAATATTGTAGAATTAATCAGCAAGTAGTTTATTGACCCAATAACACTTTTCAGTTCTGTTTTTTGTTCTCCTTTTATGACTTTCTGTTTGAGGTGTCATACAACTTTCTTCAGTGGACTACTTTAAGTAATAAAACCCAGTACCAGAAAACTTTTTCATTCATTGGGTTTTTACTTCCACAGATAAATCAGGTTATTTTTTTTTATACCCATACATGGAAGTTTCATTTATGATGCAGAAATAAAGTAATTTCACCTGGATAAAGTTATTTTGCTCACAAAATGGTGTAGAAACATTTGAATAGTTTTTGATGCTCTTGGCCTTGTTGTAATACTTTAACAGTTTGTTTTTGCATTATAATTGATCAAAAATTCCATCAGTCTAACATTATTGGTTAGTGTGTTTTCAGGAAGTGTAGTATGAATTGTGAAAATAATATTACTTTTTAATATCTGTATTAGTATGTAATTTATTACTTTTTAATCACAGGTCACCCTATCAATCTCCAAGCCCTTTCACAGATTACTCATGTAATGAAGAATCGGACAATCCTAATGAAAGAATTTCCAAGTCTCATCATAATCCCAGTCATAGTCAATGCAAAAGTGTAAAGAGGCACCTTATGTCTGAAAGAGGAAGAAGAAAGAGAAAGGCAAATGGTTTTCGAGGTGGTCCAGATAATAAAAAGTCAAAAAAAGGAAAGAAAGTTAAAGTTAAAAGAGAGAATTGGAAGCAACTTTGCAAATTTTATATGGAGGGAAAATGTCATAAGGTAAAAATAAAAAAATTATTTCATGAAATTATGCTAATTCCCTGCATACAATCATATCTGAAAATGGTAATAAATATTATGAACTGCTTTTCAAGATAAATTTAGATTAACACCATAGTTTTTGACAGAAAATTGCAAGTTTATTTGAAGGTCAACAAAGAATTATGTACATGTGAAAATTGCTTATCCCGATGTTTCCATCAGATTTCAGATGGTGTATGTGATTGGTCTTTCTTAAAGAAATTTGTAGATTTATAAACAAGAACATAAGTATCAATCTGTAAGCTGTTCACTAAGTGAAATTCACTTTGTTTTTCCCTAGGGGGCTGATTGTCCATACCTTCATGACCTTACTCCACCTAAGAAGAAGGAATTGTGCAAGTTTTATATACATGGGTTTTGTGCCAAAGGAGAAAAATGTCTGTACATGCACAATATCCTTTAAGATAGAAAATGGCATATTTGTAGTTTGCAATGATAAATATGCTAGTATTTCAAGATAGTTCTGTATGTAGATACATCAGCTGTTTCAATGGGAGTTACCTATTTTAGATTATTTGTGCTTAAATTAATTTAAGATATTATGAAACATTGATATAATTTAAAACAGTTCCAGAGTTTTACTTTTATTGTAAACCCTTTACTTTTCATTTAGTAAATCATTAGCTCTTTAATAATTAAAATTAGTTATAAACTTCAATAATTAATTTATATCAGCCAGTTAATGTTTGTGCAAAACTTCAGCTACATCAGAATTCAAACATGTTATCAGTAACAAACTGTTATTGTATTGTTTTGTAAGTTTTTCAAGTTGTTAAGAATAAGGTTGTACATAAATTTATTAGGAATTGAAAACTTAAAAATATTAATTGCCAACTTTATATGTTTATTTTCTTGCCACAACCTGTTAACTCTTCAGATAAAAGAATGAGAAACATACAGTGGTTATTGCAACTGTGATCTTTCAATATCTATAACTGCATAATTATAGTCTCAAATTAACACACTTCAAAAAGTGTGCATGTTATGACCTTTAAGAGAGTTACATACAAAATTTAATTAAATGTACTTTATTATTATTGTATATGAATAAATTTGACATCAAAACATAGTTAATAGATCAAATTTTAATGTTATATAAGTTCTTAGTTTTATAGAGAAATATTTAAAAAATCAAATCCAAAATCTCCCCTAATATGAGAATTGTAACATTTGTTCTCTAGGTCTCTCTAATTTATTTACCAACCATTTGAGAAGTATGGAATTTAATGTAAATTACTTATTATAGTATAGATATTGCTCAGGTTAAGCACAATTTTTAGTCTTCAATCATTTGTTTATGGGGCTCCCCAGTGGCACAGTGGTATGTCTGCGGAATTACAACGCTAAAATCAGGGTTTGGATACCCGTGGTGGGCAGAGCACAAATAGCCCATTGTGTAGCTTTGTGCTGAAATAAAAACAAACATTTGTTTATGGACCCATGAACTAGAAAATCACACCCACTTGTCATGTCTACTTGATATATCCTCTCTTTCACAAATTGCCAATAGTTTTCTGTGACATTCTGTACTGTATTCTTTGTAACCAATAGAAAGCCAAAAATTTTAATATTTCAGATGACATATGTTGTTTTCTGTACAGAGTACTGTCTTCCTTTCCTTCAGTTTGAAATTTTTAAAAGCTGTTATTGCATAGTTAGAAAGCCAGATAAATTATGATAATTATAGGACATTGTTTTCTTTGTGCATGTTACTGTTCTGTTTTCTTAGGCACATTAAGTAATTAAATAAAATTTAGTATACTAATGCTATTAGTATTAAAAAAAAAAAAGGCCTAACTTTCATTGACAGTTGACAGCAAAATAAGAGGACACAAGTATATACCATATTTCTCATTTTTCATGTATATTTTTTATTTATTATTATTATAAAAGTAATTAAAATTAAACATTAGAAACTTGTTAATTAGATTAGGCAAGATAATGAAAAATAATAATTTCTTCACAAAGTGACGTTGAAAAGTTAAGCTTGTAGATTTCTGAAAGTTATTTAATATTATTGTTATAATTTGGGTTAAATAACACAATAATAACTAGATACAATAAGATTAATAAATAAAAGTAAGACAGTCAAAGTTTTCAGTTAGTTTTAGGGGGTGTGAATTATTATTACAACGTGTTAACTTAAAATAAGCTTAGTATGTTTAATGGTACTTTAGGCTTAAGTATATTTGCACTTACTGGTAAGTTGTAAAACAGGATAAATACATTAAATAAATGCAATCTAAAAATTATTTTATTGTCTCTTGCTATTCTAGAATTAATGTGTTTATTTGAACTTAGATCCATCAGTTTAAATTCAGCTTATAGATATAGGTAGGTTGTAATATAAATCAGGCTAAAGTAAATATGTTTTATTAATGTTACATATATCGTTCTAATAAAATATTAAGTTCTATATAATTAAAGATAAACTTTATTACTTTATTGTGAAGAAAAAGTAGTGATAAAAGAATTATAATTGGTTCTTAAATGTTAGGCTTAACAGTAACAGTTTTAACAATAGGCTACTGGTATTTGGTATTGAGTATTTATTTTCAGGCTATAAGTATAAATACAATGGTGAAGTCTAGTGTAGGAGTTAAGCATTCACAGTTTGTTAAATGTAATGGGTGCAATGAATGGGTTTTATTTAGAAAATCGGGACAGTTGTACTTTTAAGGAAGCTAGTAATGAAGGTGTGCAATTTTTATGTAGATTTTGTAGGTTGGAGGAGAAGTTAGAGGCAATTATGACTAAAGTAGATGCAATAAATAAAGAGAAGTTTAGATTGTGGGAAATGGTAGCAGAATTTCAGGAGGAGCTTAAGCTGTTACATGCAAGGGATACATCAGCTAACACTGACTTTCAGGAAGTTAGAAAGAGTACTGTTAGGACTAAAAGTAGTGAATTTAGTTATAATGAGCCTATTCTGTTGAGCAACAAATTTCAGCCCTTAGCTTCTGCAGATGAGGAACTATTGGAGGGAAGGAAAACAAAAGGGTCAGAGGAGGATGTGGATGATAAGGAGGTTATAGTTGTAGGTGATTCCTTGATAAGGCATGTGGATAGGATAGTCTGTGGGGTAAATAGGAAGAAAATAATCAGATTATGCTACCCAGGGGCACAGGTGGAGGATATAACTGATAGAGCAAGAGATATAATAAGGGGGTGTTAGCAGAAATGCAGTTATTGTAGTGCATGTAGGGGCTAATAATGTATGGAAAGGTAGGTCAGAATAGCTAATTAATAAGTACAAGGGGTTGATAAAGGCATCTAAAGAAAATGTCCATAACTTAATTTTATCAGGGATACTGCCCAGAATAATTAATTGTGGGGATGAAGTTATAAGTAGGTCACTAGGGCTAAATGCTAGGCTTATGTTAGTATGTAAGGATGAGCAGATTGGCTGGTTGGAGTTGTGGGATCGGTTCAGTGGAATAAGGGAGCTTTTTGCAATGGATGGTTTACATTTAAATAGAGTAGGGGCTGGTTTATTTGCTGAGGCTATTAACTCAGCTGTAAGGAAAGTTTTAAACTAGGGTTAGACAGTGGTGAGGGCCAGGAAAAACTGAATGTATAAAGAATAAGAGGCAGAGAAAAGTTTAGCATACAAAAAGAGTATAGAAGTAGTTATAAGGATAGGCTTAATTGTTACTATTGTTAATGGTAGAAGTATAAGAAATAAAATAGATTAATTTGTAGGAATGGGGGATTTTGATATAATGGGAATAACTGAAACATGGTTAAACGTAGATGATTTTGATGACAGAACTTTTTTTTTTTAAATACAGGTTACCTTATTATAGGGGGGTGGCTTTATATGTAAAATGCAAGTTACATCCTGTTGAAGTTGAGGATATCAAAGAGATTGAATCTATTTGGGTTTCTATTAGAGGATATAAAGGGAAAAGGCTTTGTGGGAATTTCTTACAGACCACCAAATGATACTGATGGAATTAGTGAGAAACTTTACTATGAGATTAAGATTTCAGCTGTTAATGAAGTCATAATTATGGGTGATTTTAATTTCAGAAAAGGACTGGCTTTGACTTTTTATTTTATTATTTTAATTTAGTTTAAAGGATGAAACATCTGAGATGGACCAATAGGCCCCATGTTATCCCAAAACGTTATGTTATGTTATAATTCAATACTTGGGCTACATGTGTAACAAGTGATTTACAACTTGCATGGTAGGGTTATTAGTTAGACACAGTTCAATTTACTATACTCAAAGCTTAAACTTTCTATAAAATCATCATATTCCTCCATTGACAATATAATGTGCAACAGTTTTGCAGACACATTTTGATTAAATTATATTAATTGGTACAAAAGCTGTGACATGCTTTTGGTGCTAACAAAGTTATAATTAAAACTTGTACATATTATATATTTTTAGTAACTTGTTATATCTTACTTTTTTTCCTTAATAACATATTACAGGAATTTCCATGCAAGTTTTTTCACACAGGTGCTAAGTGCTATGCAGAAAACAACTGTATTTTTTCACATGATCCATTAACCGATGAGACCAAAAGAATCCTAGATAAAGTGAGTCATTTTTACTTTATATAAAGTTTATCACTTAGAGTTTCCATTACTTGATTGGTCATCCATCGATTCATATTGCTGTTGTTGTTTCACATATACTCCATTTTGCCTTAACAATATTTGTATGGTTATTTACTGCCCATTTATGAAATTGTGGACACAATCTTACATTTTTATTTTACCATTGTCTTATTACTCTATAATAAAGAACCTGATTTTTAGCATTACTGTGCTGAGCATAACAAGAGTAGTATCTCCTTAAACTGCCCTACCTTTGAGACATACATTAAATATAGTTGTCCTTTAGCATTATTTTCTTTTTGGCTCATCAATAACTCAGAAGCTAGTAACTTTTTACAATATATTCATATATTAAAACATTCACATAAGTATGGAGATTTGTTAGTCCAAAGTTTAAAGCAAATAAATGATTTTTCTACAGTTCTGTTGAACATTATATTGCAATACACAGGAACACATTTTCAAATTGACCAGCTCCAAAACAAGCTAGTGTAATTATCTATAAAAAGTATTTGAAATGCATCTTGTGTGATTTATTTTTTCTTTATCTAGTATTTGGAGGGTACAAGAGTGGATGAAGATGACAGAGGTGATGTAGGTGGAGATGTCATGAGAGTGAAAGGTTCTGAAAGAGGTCACTCTCCCTTAAAAAAACGTCCAAGTCTGCTAGGATCCCCTCCTCGCCATATTAAAGAACAGGCAGAAAGTTGGAGACAAGAGGTCCAGCAGCAACAGCTTCAGCATAGGCTGAAGAACCAGATGCTTCAGCAGCAACGACAACAGTTTTCTAATGGTGGTATTCTGAGCCCTCCTCAGAATTCTCGTGAGAGGTAATACAAAACTTTATTGAAACCTGTATTTCATTATTTATGGCAGTACTGAAAATATTTTGAGATACAAGTGAGGGAAATTGCCTTAAATAAGCATAGCTTCCTTTCCTTCAGAGCATTTAAATGAAATACGGAAACAGGGCATTGGGCATTTACCAAAATTCAGCAAATAAAAGCTTCCCATTAAGATTTGTACATAAATTCATTCATGTTTTTTATTTGGTACTAAAGCATAAATTGCATTGTATCCAATGAGGTGTCATGTGTGTTTTGATTTGGCTCTTACCTGTATGTCATGAATATATCTTTTAAAACTGGGACTATGTGTGTATGTCACAGAGATTGTATAGATGCTATAATAATAATCCCAAGAAAAGCTTATGGATAATCATAAAAAAAACAAATTTTTTTTAACTTATCCTTTATTTTTACTCAAAATAGCTCAAAAAAAGCCCTTTAAAAACACAAAATTGAAGGTAAACTTCTATTGTTAGCCAAAAACATTGACACAATATTTTTGATAGTGTAGTCATGATATCAACATAATTATCTTAGAATACGTGTAGAAATATGATGATTTTGCAGCATTATTTATCAGAACTTTCATGATAAAGTCTCTGTCATAACACGGAGTAATGTATTTCTTCGTGGGAATTTTACAAATTGGTAGAGAAACTAACATTTATTTTCATTCAAATATAGATTATATATATTGTGAAATCACAAGTCTATATTTTTGGAAAGAGGAATCTTAAAAAAAATCTAGTCTTTGCAATGACCCATTGGGAATCCTTTAATTATATTATTATACATTTTCAGGCTCAATTTCTACACAGATACATTACAGTCTCCAAAAAAATCTAGCCGTGTTATGCAAGCCACATCTGGTACAATTCCACCACTTGGAAAATCTTCTGGGCTTCTAAAACTCCCTTCCAGTATGTCACCAAGCCAGGAACCAGAAGAAGCTGCTAAGTTTGACCATTGTACTTCATCTGGTTATCAATCTAAAATCTCTTCCACAGGCTGGTTCAATCAAGACCAGAACTATTCTGTTCATGATCTGTCAGAAAAAGAGAAAGAAGGTGATTATGAAATCAGGAAAATTGAAACAAAAGATAAATTTTTTAATCCTTTTAGTCTTAAATTTCTTATGACCAAAGTTGTTTTGTAAAAACCAACTTATACTCTAGGTTTTAACTCTGTGTTGTTATCATTTATTATATTGATTAGATTACTATAATAGCACTAAGAAAAATTATAAAATCAGACATGGTATTTGGAAATATATATTTTGAAGAATAATTTGCAGTGAGATGATTTGTAGAAGTAAGTTTGGGATATTTTGGTAAGAAGACATTGTATTTTTGTTTTAGATTCTCAGTTGAGCTGTAATCATGAGCCTCGTGATTCTGAAAGAAGTTTATCAAAATACAATAATGAAACATCAAAACATAAGGAGCAAGATGGAGTTAAAGAACAAATCAAGGAAGGAAGCCCTGCATATAATACAGAAGAAGAAGAAGAAACATCTATGGGTCCACTCTCTGCTTCTCCTCCTTCAGACACCAATAATTCACAAGGAGCCAACAATTTAATCTGTATTCCTACCCATTTGCCTCGGCGTCAAAAACAACTTTTTCTGCGTATTCAGCAACAACAAAAAGAAGTAGGGGAAAATGGTGCAGAAGCCTCTGAAGAGCAGGATTCAAAGCCTGGGGAGGAGAAGTTAGATGAAGAAGAAGAACAAGAAAAGGCAGAAGGAAAAAGTGCTGAGTGGGATAGCAGTGACGAAGATGATACAGAGGATCAACCTTTAACTGCGGTGTTGAAGAAACTACAACAAATGGCATGTATTAGTTTTATTTTTTTTGTGATTACGGAAAATGTTTCTAGTTAGACAATTCTTCCCTTAATGTTCTGAGCCAATTAGTAATAAAGTTTATGTTGTTCTCCAGTGATTTTAAGACTTGTAGTTGAAGTTGTAACTTAAATGTTTTGTGACATTTACATATAACATGATAATGTGTAATATAGAATTGTACAGGCTGATGCTCTGCATCTTTTCACTTTGATAATGAAATGAACAAAGTTTCATTACACATAAGTTACCAGATGAATGTACTTCACCTTGCAGCAATGTCCTGTACAACTGACCTAAAATCTTTTCGTGAAATAGTTGTAATACAGTAACTTTTAAAATATTATACTGAATAAATAAATAACATTTCATAGAATCTTTTGTCATCCAGCCCACCTGAAGAGTTTTGATATTGAATGAAAAACTTATTGAGTAGTGACTTGTGGGAGACAAAAGATAGATCTGAAATACTATTTTTACACACTTCTGACTTTGGGCTGTAATGAACAACTTAAGAGAAAGTGAAAAAAAATGAAACATCTGCAATTAACTTGTTGTTAGTATAGTAACTTAAATACACCATTTCAGCATTGTAAAAAATATTAGGAACTTAAAACCAAACATTTTTGTTTAAATGGTAGCTTCTGGTGAATACTTAAGAAAATATAGAACACTTTTTTTTGTCCCATACAAATTTATCATATATATGTATATATAAATATTCATTAGACAACAGTCCACATAAAAAATTACTTTTTAAAAAAGTTTTTAGTCCGTTAAATTTAACTTGTTTTCAAATTCATGTAACAAGTTGAGACATAATTATAAGAATCTGCTTCTATTCCCCAGTTGTCAACAGTTCTTAAAAGAAAAAAAAGTAAATAACACAATCAATTTTTATTAGCTGTAACTCTATCAGCATTATATTATTAAGGACAAAATTTGAATTTTGTTAAACATGTTTGATTTGTTATTTTTTGTTGTTGTTTTAACCGTTACTAAATTATGTGAAAGTTAAGCTTATTACCTAGTATAGAAAACAAAGAACTAATTACATTTGTACTTGTTTATCAGATTTCACCCTCAAAACAAGAAATGTAAGCAAATTTTGTGGAGGGGTATAATATTTGATTACATTTGTTTGTTTTACAGCCTCCTCCAAAACCTCAACTTCAGGTAAAAGAAAGTCCAGCAACAAATCAACCTACTATCAATATAGCTAAAATGTTAAGTGCAATAAGGCAGCAGGCAAATCTTAGTTCTTCACCAGCAGTAGTCCAAGCTTTCAACCAACAGCCAGAATTTTGGCAAAATATACTTGCAGGTACAGCTCCTGTTCCAGGTGCTACATCATCAAGTGCATTACCCAACCCTGTTCAGACAGTTGTGGAAAACAGTGAGAAAAGTACAGTTGGACCTCTGAGCAAAGATCAAAGAATTCAAGAAGTGCAAGAAGCAGTTCCTTCTCGAGATCCACGAGTTGGGCAGCCACATAAGGATCCTCGGATGCAGTTTCGTGATCCAAGATTTAGTATTGGTGTTTCAACTCGAGATCCTCGTTTAGGAGAAGGTGTAACAGTAACTCAGCCAGTGAGTAATGCATCCTTCAGCTCAAGTGAGCCTCTTGTTTCAACCCACAGCATAATTAATAGCACATACAGAAGTAGCACAAGTGAAAAGAACAAAAATGTAGCAAAGAATGCTCATTACAAACTTCACCCTGTTTCAAAGTCTCATCCAAATTATGTTACATATGTTATTGCAGGAAATGGTGATCCAAAACTTTTCAATGACCCACGTGTTAGGAAGCACTTGACAGAAGTTCCTCCTCCGTCTCATCTTCAGGCATCTTTGCCAACTCAAACATCTTTGTTAGGAAAATTTCCTGAAAGTTTCAATAACTTTATGTCTAGAGAATTGAGGACACAAACTGAAGTTCAGTCTAGCTTGCCACCACTCCCTAATCTTGTAAACCCTACTCTTTCAGCTGAAGTGGAACTCTCAGAACCAACTGAAAATAAACCTATAACAACAAAGCCTGTAGATCCACGACTAACAAAAGGTGTAGCAGCAGTATCCAGTGATCCACGACTACATCAGAACACCACTAACGGATTAATACCACCACATGTACCTTCCATTCTTAATCAGAGTTGGTTGGTTGATAATTTACCAAACTCTTCTGTTTGCCACCTGCCTCGCTCAATAACAGATCCAAGACTTGCTAAACTTCATCAAACAGGTCGAGCTGGGCTCCCTCTCAAGCAGTTGGGAGTAAAGCAAGGTACAGTACCTCAGCAACTTGGTCAGAAAGTAGCTATGCCACAAATTTCATGTAATACTGTGTCAAATGGAAGTGGAGGGAGTGTCTTTAGTGTTTCAAATTTACCTTCTAAACCTACAGTAGATTTTGCAGCGGATCCAAGACTTAAACTTAACGAGACCACAGATTGTAATTCCTCAGCTCTGCATCAGGAAAATTCCAAGAGGTCAGATAATACAAGTGAGAAAAAGAAACCATCTCAACTTAACAGAAATATAAGTATGGAGTATTCTTCCCCACTCAATCTATATAATGATCAAAGTGCTGGCAGTTCTGGAAACAACAGTTATAATCGTAGGCTTAATGTGCGACAAGCAGCTCAAACTTTAACAACATCAAGTGAAATGGCCAACATTAAACCTTCCATTTCAACATTTTCTGATCCTAGGACACAAGTAGTACAGGATACTTCACTGGCAAGAACTGAAAGTCCTGGTTGTTCCTCAGTAATTTTTGTCCCTGAAGATCACCTTTCACCTGAAGATAGTGGGCAGCATGCATCATTAAAAGAAGTATTCAAAACCTTTGATCCAACTGTTTCTCCTTTCTGTTAGTGGATATTTTTACACCAAGGAAAGAATTGTTATATGACAGGTGCACATCAATCGTATTGAGAGTTTTTGAAAATGGAAATAGTCAGTAATGTGACTTAATGGTGGTGTACTCCACATTATCTGTGTTCATGAATCTTTCCAAGGACTCTTTGCTCACATTTGAATGAATAAATAAAAGTTGGTAATATTTCATTGACTGTATCTGCAAATTGTTTTTGGTTTGTGATGCAACTTGTAAGGAGTATTTTGTAAATTGTTAGTATGTACATATTCTAAAGAAATTCCTTTTTTTCTATGTTATTTGATTTCTTGAATGTCATTCTACTCTAGCATTGGTTTTTGACTTGCATAGTTTTTTTTTTTCTTATACATATGCAGTTACGGTTAATTCATAAAGAAACCTAACAATAATTCTTGTGCATTAGACTTAACTTAATTCCAAACTGTGAACCTTAGTAATTGTATTCTTGGGTTTCTTTAGTACCTTCCAGTGTTGTCTTTACAAACGAATCAAATGTTATAACTGCATTGCATGTATTCTCTCTCCCATTATGCATAACAGATAAAGAAATAGTTGTATGGTTTTTGTTCTCTTTTAAGTTTGAATTTACATAAGTATTACTAAAGAAAGTATCAAGATATGTTGAGTATGAACTGAATTCTTTACTTTTTATGTTAAATAAAAATCATCACTAAATTAAAGCTTGTAAAACTTAGTTAACAAAACACTACTTACAACATCAGAATATGTTGTTGTTGTTTTTTGGTTACTTAAGTAGAATTATCTACTTTCATGTTTCTTTTTTTTTGTTTACTGTTCACAAGGTTCCCATCTGTGATATTTTGATTTTGATAATTTGTAAGTGTTTCATCAATGTGAATTACTTATTTAGGAAACCCAAAAATGTGTCAGGAGAGAAGTTTTCTTCATAATATAATGCAGTATATCACATGAATCTCAAAGCCTGATCTTTAAAAGAAAAATACTTATCTATATACAGAATAATGTATGCTGTAAACCCTTTGTGTCAAATACACATATACTACCATCTAAACTTGTCCAATGTTAGTAACTTCTATATATGATACATATGATGCTTCCTGACTTAATATTACATGAAATTTTACATTGGTTTTTAACAGGGACTCGTTTAGGAAAATTACTTGTTTGATCAAGTATTTGACAAATTAACTCTTGATAACATATATTAAGTCCGTGAGAGAATAACCTGGTAAAATGGAGTTGGAATATTTCGGCAGGCTTCATTTATTAATATTCCAATCTCAATTTGAAACGTTTTCTTTTTTTAATCTATAATTTTTGTGTGAACAAAAATCCTCTAAAAGAATTCATTCAACTAAAACTGTCAGCCCTATGGTCAAAGTTAATTTTAACATTGTGTATGCTTAAATTAATCTGCATTAATTACGTGCAGAGTTTAAGTCGATAAAATACCGTGAATAAGAAAATGTACAAGTATAGTATATTTTGTGTTAACTAATTCATTATGACCAGAACGTCTAACAGGAAGGATGATTGTTAAGTTGTAAAGTTTGAATTACAAATGATTGTGGTATAAAGATGACAACTTAGAAGTGCTGGTACTAAGATCATCATTGTTATGTATATGTGTGGAGCCAAGCTATTTATAAAGAATGTGTAGAGTATAAATAAAACTGTTGAAGTTAACAATACTATAGTGATAATGAGTTAGACTATAAATACACTTGTATTCGCCGTTTAGTGACCTTATACTACAATAAGCGTGGTCGAAAATGTCTTAAATGAACAGATAGATCTGGAGGAAAATGTATAGTGAAAATCCCATGGGCTGGTAGAATACGTCATAAGTTGTAACAGTGGTAACAACGGTGATTGTCTTCTTGGTATCAAATAATGATTTACTATCTTGAACTAGTGCCAGCTAGACGTCTTAGAAAGAACAGATTGGGTACACAAAAGTATTACTAGCTTCGTAACTACTTATTTTAATTATTCATCTAAGGGAATTTCTCAAGTTGTCACATGTAACACATTTGTATTTGGCATGCTAAAATCCGAAATTGTGACTTAATCTTTCAATCATAAAGCGAAACACCACTGACAGAAAACTGTAGACCCCACACAAGTATTTAAACTGTTAAGAGTAAATTCATTAGCTTGAATCATTCACTGGGAATTTTTATAACTTCATTGAATATACCTTTACCATATTACTTGTTTCCTTGCTCCCGACCATGTTAATTGGAGGAGAAGACGTCTTGAGCTCACGTGTTAAACTATTGTTACAAGATAAATAAAATATTGGGAATTTAAAAACCTGCAAATAGAGATAGTTAAAAAATTAAGGTAACAAGGCTGGAGGTACTGTAGACAAATTTACTCAAACCACAAACCCCTAGAATTACATTTCGTGGAGTCAAAATAGGGATTTGTAATTTGAGTAAATAATGTCTACGGTATTTCCAGCCTTATTACCCTTTTTTTTTTTTTTTACAATCCCTATTTGCTGGTTTTAAATAACCTTTTTTATTTATCATCTTTGCTGAATTTTTTTATGTTCAATTAATTATCAAAGGGTTAAACATATCTAGTGGCTAGCTGATATGGTTCGTGATCATTACTGTAGCTGTTGACTATTTGATCGCATTAGTTCGAGATGTAAAATGTTAAGCTGCAACAGGAGATTTGTTTGAGAATATAGTGAGCATTTATAGTTTCTGTGTAACTTAATTTTCTATATATAATGCATAGCAATGGGCAAATATATGCCTAGACTAAGACGCAATCCCCACCAAGCGCGTATAAAATGTTAAACAGTAGAAAAGCAGCCTTTTCAAATAAAACATATACGTTAGAATTTAAACAAACATAAAAACTTGTGAATGGTGAAGTTGACACGCCTTTGTATTTAAACTAATGCTGATAGAGCTTTTCTAGGGATGTTTACATACATAATTACTCTGCGAGAAATGTGGGGAAAAAGTGCAAAACAGCACCATAACTATTTAAGTGAATTTAATGGTAAGACTACATAACACATTTGTTACTAAAGTATGACCCAGTATCGCGTTTAAATTTTATTTAAAACTTTTTCAGGAAAAGTTATACTGACATAGTTTTTTTGAGAGTTGTTTCGGTGCAGAAAAATCTATGGTCAATATGTATTGTAATTGTAGAAACTATAAACATCTAGCTCCCCAGTGGCACAGCGGTATGTCTGCGGACTTACAACGCTAGAAACCGGTGGGCAGAGCACAAGTATCCCATTGTGTATCTGATTAGGTTTATTTTTAGTGTAAATTCACAAGCAAGAGCGTGTATTTTTTCCCTCTAATATCTTAATGAACAACACCCTAGTATTAAATTTACATGTGAAATAGAATCTAACACTACCATTTTTAGACGTACTTCCGATTATCATAAAAAAAACATTCGATAGCGTCTTCACCCAATTTAATATTATCACATTATCTTACAAACGTAATTTAGTAACATAACCTGCTTAACAGAGCCCAACCTATGTTATAGTTTTCTCACTGTATTCCGAAATCTCTTTTATTCAGGTTAACCTTAAATGCAATAGCTATCCTTAACAAATTTTGGAAAGTCACATCAGAAATTCTAAGTAGTAAGTTTGTTAATAATACGAAAATACCAACCGCTTCTAAATACCGCCCCCCCCCCCCATTGGCACAGCGGTATGTCAATTATAAATGCCCTGTCTACTTCTGTATATTAATATTGTTACGTCTCCGTTCGTTAGTTAATTTTCCGTTAAAACTCTTACCGATAGAAGTTTTTTCTTAAATAAAACTGGTTTATTCTTTCCGAATACAACTTTACGATACACTTAATTTCAACAGTCGCTCTATAACAAACGCTATAACTTGCAACGAACGTCTCACGTGCCCAACAATATTCTGTCCGCAAACATTCAATTACTCGTTACCTTGCGTTGCTTCCTGGCCGGTCTTATATATACAAGACTACCCCAATCTAGTAGTCTCCCGACATTTCAAGAAGGAAGTGGCGTGATACAAGCGTCACGTGACCTGCGTTGTCGTAACAATATCTTGGTAAACAGCTTTATTACCAGAAGCACATTTGTTATTTATACATATAAGAAATTTCCCTCCAGTTGATATGAAAATAAATTTCAAACTCACTTTCCGTTAAAAAAACCTCTTTTTCGCTAATAAGGACGAAAAACCACCCCTCATTATTCAAAGCTCATATATTTATACGCTTGTGTGAACTGTAAGGCTTCATACATTGAAAAAACGTTATCTCAAAGTAAAACTTAATACTCACGTAGAACGATCGAGAGAAAGTGGTACATCACTAAACAATTCTTGGCCCTTCACAATACGCCGACATAGTAAAACTACAAGACATACAATCTCTCTCTCTCTCTCAAACTTTACAATCTTAATAACAGCTTAATCACAAACAGAACTCTTGATAAAAGAAATTTTATGTATTAAACAACATCAACTTTCACTAAACAACACACCGTCTTCTTTTGGTTATATTTCGGTGTCTATACCTTAACTTGTGTCACTTATATGTGCTCCAAATTGGTATTCTTTTGGTGCAGTTATCTTCATTGTCTTCGATGGATGACAATTTTACTAAATTAGATAATCTTTTGCTTTAACTCACTTCAATATTGTTGTTAAGCGTATAATGATAGTGTATGGTTATCTCATTATTTCTCGCGATCAAAACGTTATTTTGCAAAATAAACTTAGTTGAATTAAAGAACTGTTGTTTTACACCTGATGATGGTCTAAGTAGGTCGAAACATTGTACGTTATTATTGATGATTAATACATAATAAAATGTTTAACTTTATTTTCGCCACCTGAATTAGTTTTTATCATGTGATCTACGAACGACAGCTTTTTTTGTCATCGTTATCAAATTCAGTGCTTTCCTAATCATCATTGAGTAACAGTAACGTTTCCGCATATTGTAGGCGTAAGGTAAAGGACCGCTTCACTTGATAGCCTAACGTTAGTAAATATTACTTACAAAACATTAAATCTTTGATTTGTTTGAATTCGATTTGAATTTTCAGTTTCGAAAAGAAACGTGAAACTTACCTCAATACTCCCAACTTTCACAGATTATATTTTAAATATCTAACTGGAGCACACTTGACAATTATTTAGTATATACTGTTACGTCTCTTAATTTTACAGGACGTATATTATTTCGTACTGGTCTCCGTCTCATTGGCATCTGCTTCACGTGGGGGTCATCTGCTCCATCAGGAAATGTCCCATTATCGGTAACAGTTACATCAGTGGTAGTAACTTCATTAACGGCTTCACTGTGTCCCTTCTCAAAACCGGGTAGAGTTTCTTCTTCAACAATGGCTTTTTCAGGTGACATGTCTTCAGCAGCGTCATTTGTTCTGTTGTTCATTTTGTTCCAACTGAAATGTTCTGGACCGTGATAATGCCAAAGCCTGTTGGCATGCACCACCTTTAGCTTACCTCGCCGACCACATTTTATTCGGAAAGTCACGTCTGAGAGACGATCCACTATGTCACATGGGCCTTCCCATGGAGAAGACAACTTAGGAGACTTCCCTTTGGTCTTCCTGGGATTATACAACCACACCTTGTCTCCTGCTTCAAAGCTGACTTCAGTAGATCTCTTATCATAAGATAGCTTCATGGAATCAGCAAACGTTTTCAAGTTTGAATGCACTTGATGATGAATATCATCCATCCTTTCAGATAACACTTTCACGAACTCTGACACATTTTCAGGCAACTCTTCATAAGGTGGACATCATGTTATCAGATCCACTGGCAACCGAAGTACCCGACCAAACATCAGCTTTGCTGGAGTGTATCCAGTGGCTTCATGCTCTACTTTTCTATAGGCCATCAACAGTGGAGGGAGCAAGACATTCCAGTCATCTTGGCGGCTATTATAAAACTTTGCCAATTCCTGTCCAAGTGTCCAATTGTACTTTTCTACCATCCCATCAGACTGTGGGTGAAGTGGCATTGTCCTGGTTTTTCGGATGCCAAACAACTTGCAGCATTCATGGAACACAGCTGATTCAAAGTTACAGCCTTGATCAGAATGCAGTTCGTATGGCATACCAAACCTGAAGAAAAAAACACTAATAGCCGAAGCTACAGTTGTAGCTTCCTGATTTGGTATTGCCTCAGGCCACTTGGTGAAATAATCCATCACCACACAAATGTACTTGATTCCAGCACGAGTTTGGGGCAAAGGACCAGCAATGTCAATGGCTATTCTTACTACTGGTGTGCCAACTTGATATAACTTCATTGGAGCATGTCCCTTATGCTTGGGTCCCCTTTTAGCACAACATATACTGCAGGTCCTGCACCATTCTTCCACATCTTGTTTCATACCTATCCAGTAAAATCTCTTGCCGTAGGTGACTCAATGTCTTCCTAACTCCAAGATGTCCTCCTGTTAAACTATCATGGGATTGATGCAGCACAACTTCCCGTAACTTTCTTGGTATAACTGTTTGCCACATCACTTTCCCATCTCCGGAGAAGAATACCATCTTCAAGCTTCAACTGGTCCCATTGTGCCCAATAGTTCTTTGTCACAGGGCTTAAGCTAGACACCTTCTCCCAAGCAGGGTGCAAAACACTTGCTTGTAGAAAATCAATTATTGGCTTCAAATCTTGGTCTTTCTCCAATTCTGCTTGAATATCTCTACTTGGTTCCACTTCACCATCATCAACTCCTTCAGTCACTTTGACTTCAGCTTGATGGCACCTGGTTAGTCCAACCTCCCTTTTAACACTTACTGGAATTTTACCTTTTTTTTCCCAAACGTCATTTTATCATAGTTAACTACACACTTCCTCGGTAGTAAGTAGTCCAACCCTAATATGCATGAGTCTTCAATGTCAGCCAACTATACTTTGTGTTTGTCCTTTATGCCCATGAGCTCAATAGTTACTCACACCGGTTCCCAACAACCTTGCATAATGTCCTGTCACACCACAGAGCTTCTGTATGGCTTCTGGTACTCCTTTGTGATCTAGGCCCATAAGACATAGTGGATCGTCTCTCAGACGTGACTTTCCGAATAAAATGTGGTCGGCGAGGTAAGCTGTAGGTGGTACTTGCCAATAGGCTTTGGCGTTATCACAGTCAAGGACATTTCAGTTGGAACGAAGTGAACAACGGAACAAATGACGCTGCTGAAGACGTGTC